GGATACCTAATCTAATGACATCTGCAAAGTCCCTTTTGCCACAGAAAGCCACATGTTCACAGGCTCTGGAGATCAGGATGTAGACACCTTGAGGGGCCGTCACTCTGCCAGCTGCAGATGCTAGGTCAAGAGTTGGCTCAGTGAGGAGGACGCCCAGTGGGAGGCCCGAGGGGCTGCTCAGTGCAGGCATGCTGGCATGTCTGAGGAACACCGAGGGGCCGATATGGCTGGAACAGGGTAAGTGAGGCATGGGCATTGGGCTGATGCCTGTGAGTCAGCAGGTGACCTGCTCGTGTAAGCCCCTTGTTGTCCACGCATCATGAAGATTCAGGAGCAAGACAGGAAGAGGCCCCATGGCAAGGTTTCTGGCCCTCAGCACTGTAGCCATGCTGGGTCAGGTAAGTCTTTGCTGTGGGGGCCATCCTGTGCACTACAGGATGTCGAGTGGCCTCCCTGGCTGGTGCCCACTAGATGCCAGTAGCACCTGCCCCAGAGTTGGGACACCTAAACACATCTGCAGACACTGCTGAAGTCTCCTGGAGGGTTAAGACCTCCCTCCCTGTGTGGAGCACCACCTCGCTAGCGGGAAAAGGACAGGCAGCACCCATGCAAGCTCACCCAGGTAGAATTGAAAAGACATCTCTGAGTTTTAAACATTCCAACACAGCGCACAGAGGCGTTTCTGAGATGTCCCTCCTGCCGATGGAAGGTTGAACCTTCCCCTGTAGCTGCAGTGCATTTCCTAACAAGGTTCTGGGCATCTTGAAATAATATGGTATTTTATTCAAAAGAACTGATGAAGTACTGTGCCTGCTCCTTGAAAAATTTTCTTAAATAATTGACTTTTCACCCAAACGTATTATCCCAACATTTAGGTTACTCACCGTATACTGGCACCATCTCTAGAAAACAAAGAAATTACTTGCTATGTTTGGTAAATGTCACAGCCAAACACATAACAATCACATTCCTAAGTGTAGCAACGATCTATTTGCTGCGTTTAATCCAGCACGGCAAATTCCAGCACCCACACTCTGCAGCTCCACCAGAAACAGGCGAGAGCAGAGGAATATATTCAGAAACAGAAGAGACAATCGCGCCTCACAAACTCCGGCAGGCTAAAGAGAAGGAATGCATGATAAATGAAGAATGCCACCACAGAGACGATCAGTATTGGCAAATGAACTTGGCACCGTTCTGTGGGGAAATTTAAAGCCCACCATGAGTCCATTCTAAAAAGCCAAGAGGCACTGGTTAGAAAAGCTCCTAGAAAACAGACGGCCCATGTCCGTTTCAGTTGGCCCTGGAGCACTGAATCATATGATGGGCTTTTGTTGCTATTTTTACAGTTTTAAAAAAGCCAACAAAGTAGCTTTCCAGACATCCATGAATGGTACAGTGTGCTGAGCAGGCCCAACTGTTTAGCTTCCAGAAAGAACCCCTCACCCCACCCGACATCCTGCTCTCCCCGCCCCGCAAGATAATATTTCATTTGTGACTCAAGAAACTTTTTAAAAAAGATATGCTTCATACTTTTCTGAAGCACTTATTTGGAAATAATTGGGTTCTAAGACTCCTTCCAGAAGACACAAATGAGAGAAAGTCTCTAAAAAGAGAATACAAAAGCCAGAGAGGATAACAATATTGAAAACAGGAGCCCTATGCAGGTGAGGAGACATGCGGTGCCCTGAAATGCTGCACCACGCGAGGGTCTGTAAGCCTCTCAGCTTTCTCCATGTCCGAGGGTGAAGACTAGGAGGGAAGGAGGCAGGGAGGGAAGTGAGGAAAGAGAAATACAAGTGCACAAACTGGGTCAAGCCGCAATTTGCAAGAGGTCAATGGTTTACGACATGACAACATAAACAGAATGAAATCAATTGGGTACTGCTCACCTGTTGACCTAATGCTTATTGAACGTCTTATAATCAAGATACATGGCTTTGCCCATTAGCCTATAGAGTTAGAAGCCACACACATGAAATATCAAGTGGTTTCACTTACGATACTCTCCGGAATTGATTCTCGGTCTATTGGAAGGAGGGAAGGGAAGGAAGGTAGAGGTTCTGAACTACCAGGGATGATAGCACCAAAAAAGTTTCTATTGTTATGGAGTCAAGTCTGCCTGTTTGCAATATTGTGAATTTTACATTTTAAATGCACTTGAAATTTTGTCATATGTGTGCATTAAGCTACATGTAAATGAAGATCCTTGACTTGGTATTCTATCAGATGGTGTTCTCCGATCAGATGCGGGCAGTCCCCCACCAGAACTCTGCGATGCCTCCTTCCACGGGAGAAAGAAAGCAAGCAGAAGGTGAGGTTGGAAAAATGCGCTTCTTACCTCTTTCTGGCTTCTTCATACTGCCAATTAAGTCTGACTCGGTCTACAAGTCTTGTTTTATCATCAAAGACAAACTTTCCGGAATAGAAGAGAGAGAGAAAAAAGAAAGGAAACACATATTAAAAACATATTTCCAAATTAGCAACTTCACTTAAACTTTCGGCAACAATGAGAAATACTCTTCATCTCTTTCACTTTCAATTTATGCAAGGTCTGCAAGGAAACACTGAATAACCCTCTATGGCCGCCTCTGGCTGGGGGAGGGGGCAAGAAGAGGGGAAGACTCTTTTTGCCTAAACTGGTAGGATTTTTTTTTTTTCACAGCAGCAGCATATCTATCTATTCTGTAATTCCAAACAACCACCTCAAATTAAGTTTTAAAAGAAGTAGGAAATTACTTAGTAAAAGTTGATACAGGCTGGGTGCGGTAGCTCACACCTGTAATCCCAGAACTTTGGAAGGCCGAGGCGGGTGGATTGTGAGGTCAACAGATATAGACCATCGAGGCCAACATGGTGAAACCCCTTCTCTACTAAAAATACAAAAAATTAGCCAGGTGTGGTGGCACGTGCCTGTAGCCCCAGCTACTTGGGAGGCTGAGGCAGAAGAATTGCTTGAACCTAGGAAGGGGAAGTTGCTGTGAGCCAAGATCACGCCACCGCACTCCAGCCTGGTGACAGAGCAAGACTCCGTCTCAAAAAGAAAAAAAAAGTTGGTATGAAGGCAAAAACCAGTCACCCCATTTTGTGCAGTACATTCTCTAATTCCTCAGTAAACATAAAATAATGATGTTCTACTCAGAAGCCCCGCGGTCTGAGGAAGCTGGACTAGTTATGTGAGCTGGACGGTGGACGCCTTCTGATGCCACAAGGCATGTAAAAGAACCAAGGACAAAAGGAAAGCCAGCAAGGTCTCAAAAAGCCAGAGCTCAGGGAGTACCACGATAGAGTTAGCCTCTACATGCAGTGCTCTGTGGTGAGGAAATATACTTAAATATTTTCATACCAATTCTATGGACGGTGACAAAATCCTACACAAAACAAAAAAAAAGACATGTATGGGAAGTAACTGTACTACACTTTGGTTAATCCTTTCCTCATTCCTGCAAATATTCATACAACTCTAGTTTCAATAAATCGGCTCCATCTGTTGTCTGACCTTACTAGACCACATATTATGACCACCAAGTCTTTATGTTTTTGAAATAACTTCCCATCAACAAGTATCTGAAAATATTTAACTTGAATGATTAGCAATGAATTTATCAATACTAGTTTTGATCTATTGATGGAAAATTTCTTTGCAAATTTATTGCCTTGAATGACAAGATGAAAAAGTGCCTTATAAGGGAATGAGCATTCTCCAACCAGAGTAACAATTGCTCATGGTTTCTTTTTTTGAATCAGGGTCTCACACTGTTGTCCAGGCTAGAGTACACTGTGGCAATCACAGCTCACTGCAGCCTTGACCCCTTGGGCTCAAGTGATCCTCCTGCCTCAGCCTCCCAAGTAGCTGGGACTACAGGCATGAGCCACAATGCCTGCCTAATTTTTGGTTTGTAGAGATGGAGTTACACCATGTTGCCCAGGCTGGTCTTCAACTCATGGGCTCAAGCAATCTGGCCACCTCAACCTCCCAAAGTGCTAGGATTACACATGAGCCACCATGCCTGGCCACAATTATACATGTTTAAATGGCCTCATCCAATGCTCCTCTCTGGCTTCCTCAGTATAAATATATTTAAGTGGCAGTGCCACAGCTCCAAAAACTGTCCACAGTGGAGATGAGCTACTTGCCATTTCAGTCCCCTATTTATCAGTTACCTCACAACCAACTCTTCATCAAGATCAATAAACATCATCTCTCAAACCTCTTCTCAAAGCTGTATGCACCTCTCTCTAAGCTTTAATTTTGTAGTTGTCTTTGACAATTAAATGTACATTTTAGTGAAAAGAAAAGACAGCCAAATGGATCCAAGAGACTCCTGCTTCACAGTTCCTATGCTGCCCTATGGCATGTGCAACCTTGTGCTTGCAAATATCCAGTCTCAAAAAGCGCATCTGATATATAGCAATACCAACCCCACAAAATAGACTCAACACAAGCACAAAGTGAGGTAGGCAGACTTCTAAGATGGCCCCTAGTGACCTCCACCTCCTGGGATTCTCCCCGTGTTAAATTAACTCCCCTTGAGAGTGTCCTGGGTCTATAACTTGACTCTAACCACTAGAACAGAGCAAAGGTGATGGGAAGTCATTTCTGTGAATAAGTTACAAAAGACTTTGACTTCCATTGTGCTAGCAGACTCTCTCCACTGGCACACTTTGATGAAGCAGGCTGCCATGCTGGAGCAGCCCACATGGCAAGAGACTGAAGCCCTCAGTCCAGCAACCTGTGAGGAACTGAATCCTGCCAACAATCACATGAGCTTAAGAGTGGCTCCTCCCCCAGGTGAGCTTTTGGATGAGACCACAGCCCTGGCTGATACCTTGAATGCAGGTTCCTGAGAGAACCTGGAACAGAAGACCCAGCCCAGTCTCCTGGACCATATCAAGCATGAGAGAATAAAGGAGCATTGTTGTAAGAGGCTAGGTTTTGGGGAAATCTGTTATGCAGCAATGGTTAGCTAATACAGTCATAGCCTTTTGATCTATTTTTCTATAATAATATGATGTGGTAGAAAGTACAGGGGTTAAAGTATGAGAAATGTTTCAAACCCAGACCTGCCTCCCCTTGGCTACAAGACCTTAGGTAACCTGGCGTCTCAGTCTCCTGCACATCAAACAGGATGGGAACAATTACTTAAACTGAGATAACAGCTATGAATCTGCTTACCCAGGGTCAGCCCCAGTAAACTGCAGGGGCTCATCAATAGTGAGCAGTGACTACTAAAGCAGCAGAACCTGCCACCACTCCTCACCTGACATTTTTAGAAGGGCTGACCTAAATCACTGGAGAACCTTCTATCTTAACTGTTTCTCTCAAACTAAATTCTAATTCTAACCTTACAATAAGCAGCAATGAATTATTCACGAATTCAATAAGTCTTGTACTTGTTTCCTTCTCTCACTCCAAAATCTTTAGGCAAAAATGCCAAACATTTTTGAATTTCAGATTCTTCTGTGTATATTCCAGATGGTGACCATATTCCCTCATCCAAAGAAGATGCCTACTCAAAAATGGCCAAGTGTACTTTTGAAACAATGCAGGCAAATTTGAAAACAGGACTGTTCCAGGACACCCAAGACATGAAGAGCCATGATTTCCTACCTCCCCTCAAAGAGGCACTAGTGGCCAAGGTTTCAAATATTAACTAGCTAATTATTTAAGCCCCATAGTTTTCCATCAATTGTTTCTTTCTCCTTTTGTTTCTTTCCTTTTATTTATTTAATTTCGGGAGATGGTACTGTGCATTCCAGTGATACCTCATCATTACTTAATAATTCTTTAAAAAAAGAAGCTCCTTAGATTGCTTTTCCATTTGGAAACTAATTAACGTTCAAACTTCACTCAATGATATTACAATAGTAGTGCCTTTGAATATCCACCACCCTGCTTCAAATGTGATTTTCCTAACTTTGTTTTTGTGGCTAACTCAAGACTTCACCAATTAACAAAGGAGGCATTATGACATTCTTCCAAGTCTCAAACAAATGGCTTTTAATTCAATTCAATTTCCTGACATTCTTTTAGAAGAGTAAGAAACAGCAATAAAGTAACACCCAAGGTGGCACAGCTATAAAGTCTTTGGAAATCAGTGGTTAAGGCAGGGATCAGTAACTGTGGCCCTGGAGCCAAATCCCACCCACTGGCAAATGAACGTTTGGCCAGCTTGAGGCCCCAACCTTACATGCCTGCAAGGCATCTCTGTGATGGCTGCCTGTACACTACAGTGACAGGGTGGGGTAGTTCCAGCAGAACTACCTGCAAAGCCTAAAATACTGACTATATTTACTATCTGGCCCTTCACGGAAAAAGTGTGGGGACCCATGCTCTAAAAAGTCATATGTCTGTCAGAAGAACAGTGAAACAACTGTCACAAGGAGTCTGTCATTTGTAAGAGTCCAAATCATAAGGGCAGCAGTATAAGAAATTCAATTGTATTGTGAGACACAGTACTTTTTCTTCAAACTTAACGGCACAAAAGTGAAGACATTTCTTAAGTGAATGTGGAAAATTGCACCAAACCAGTGACAGCAACACTAATATAGCCATCCCCTCTCCCGACGCGTTTCTTCCCCTGGTGCGCAGATACCTCCCCGATGATATCGGTCTGGGAGCCGGCATCGCAGAACTGCTGGGGTACACCAGCATCGCCAGGCACGCCTGCGTGGTGAGGGAAGTCCGCTAGAGAGTCGGTGACACAGCAGCTGTTCTTGAAGCTATCAGTCAGCTTGGCCAGGCTCTGGAACAGAATGAGATGAGCTCTTTGAACCGAGATAGTGATGTTTCTCTTCCCTCCAGAAGTGGTCTTCTCATTTATGTTTTAGGTCTGCTGCTTTATATATTACTCGACAGTTGCCTTACCCCACCCCACGCTCATTAGATTTCATATAAATGCCCTTTATCACATGTGCCTCTAATAAACTTAGTCATTTAAATCACATCGCAACTAAGTCCCTCTGGCAGCATGTGAAGCAAATAATGGACACTATTGTACCATTTGTACTGGTTCTTACACCTTCATGTTTCCCAAAGAAAAACATAAGTATTTCTATCCAAGATGTAAATGAGTCTGACAGAGATAAATGCTGCCTTGAGGTTGTAATGGAGGAACCACAGGGAAGGAGGAAACAGCTCCCAGACAATGCTTACGTGTTTCTTTTCAGTTCATTGAGTTGCTGTTTTAGCTTACATATTTTTTATAAACCTGATTTTTCAGTGATTCTACAAGGTCGAAAGTAATCTCATATGTATGCTGGTTTGCCAAAAGTTAGAGTAAGTATGCATTCTGGCACGTGAAATCTCTCCGTGTGACAGTTTTAAGCAGAAATTTTAAAATCCCATTTTTTTTTTTTTTTTTTGAGAGAGGGTCTCATTCTGTCACCCAGGCTGGAGTGCAGTAGCACAATCATAGCTCACTGTAGCCAAAACTTCCCAGGCTCAAGTGATCCTCCCACCTCAGCCTCCTGAGTACCTGGGACTACAGGTACACCACCACACCTAGCTAAACTTTTGTTTGCTTGCTTGCTTGTTTTTATAGAGATCAGGTCTCACTATATTGCCCAGGCTGTTCTCAAAGTTCTGGGCTCAAGCAATCCTCCTGCCTCAGCCTCCCAAAGTGTTGGGATTATAAGCATGAGCCATAGCACCCAACCAGAAATCAGATTTTTGACCATTTCTTTTAGACTTCTGAATATATTCACTTTCAGCAGATTTGCCATAGACACCAGAACCAAAAATGCCCAAGTGCAGTAGAACTCACGAAACTGGCTTGAGATGGAGATAAAGCCTTCTTGGGCAGGGCCAATAGAGTTAAGTTCACATAAGAAAGGCAAAACAACTGATTTAATTTGGATAGAAGAGGACTCTGCCCGTGCCTCTTCCTGGAGCTTCTCAGAGTCTGAGAAGCTATGGAGAACTCAAAGAAGGTGCTTGGGCCTGAAGCTGCTTCCAGAAATTCTATCTTCTGCCTCCACGGTGGGAACTCAAGCAAGGCAAATGAGTGGCTGGTCCTGGTGCTGCACATGTGGCTCAGAGAGGCCGGGGCAGGCAGCACTGCTTGGCCTCATGGCGTAAAGCCTTTGTGTCTCTGCCATGGAATGCAACCAGGTTCAGCCTGGGGTGTCGGTGATGCGTAATAAACACAGGGCATCACGTTTGATGTCAGCTGCGCAGAGACTTCAGTAAACGGTAGCTGTTCTCCGTGCTACCTGTTTGCCAAAAAAATCTAACAATTAACCATCCACCTATCACAACCTGTAGAGTTTATCTGTAAATACAGATTTCTGGGCCCTACCTCCAGAGATTCGAATTCAGTGAGTCTGGGGTGGGGCCTGGTAATCTGCATCTTCACAAGCACCATAAGGACTCTCTACAAGTCCCTGACAGCCTTGACCTTAGGAAGCACTACCCAGGCAGGGCAGTTTTTTGTTCATCTGTCTCATTTTGGCTCCAAGTTTGAGCTTTGCTTGATCTGTCCTGTGGGTCTTACACTCTACAGAATCTAGACACGTGCCAGCAGGCAATAGATGCTCACTTAGGGAAGCAGATGAAAAATAAAAGCTGTACCAGAAAGCACTGAATGCATTCCAGCACTTGACGCCATGAGGTCATGCAGTGCTCCCGGCCTTGACCTCTCTGAGGCCACTGTGTGCAGCACTAGGGCCAGCCACTCAGATGTCTTGCCTGAGTTCCCCACCATGGAGGCAGCTTTTTGCATTTGCAAAAGCTCAACTTTTTCTAAAGATAACAGAAACTACAAGAGTTCAAGGGGAAAAAACATAAAGCAATATAAAGCTATAATGATCCCAGCTATATAATACAAATACACCCACATAGTGGGTGGATGCTATGCAACAATATCAAGGAAAGAGCAGCTCTCTGTGTACAGATACAGGGAAAGGTAGAGGATATTGCTGTTAATCAAGGAAGCTAGTGTTGAAGAGTATCACAGTCCTGGCTCTGCGTGAGGACAGCTAAACACATATTCTTGTTTTTGTGTGCCCGCATGAATTCTGGGAGGGTAGGCAAGAAGCTAACAAAGGCAGTTAGGGGCAGTAGGAGGTGGAGCAATAGCAAGACTTCTTATCACAGACCTATGGAATTCTCCTGATTATTGAACAATATGAATGTATCACCCATTGCTGGGGGTTGAATTATGTTCCCCCAGGAGATATGTTTAAGTCCTAATCCCAGGAACCTGTGGAGTGCGACCTTATTTGGAAATAGTCTTTACAGATGTAATCTAGTTAAGATGAGGTCATACTGGATTAGGGTAGACCCTTATCCAATGGCTGGTGTCCTTTCAGGAGAGGAAATTCAGCACAGAGACAATCATGTGACTATGGAGGCAGACATCACAATGGTATCTACAATCCAAGGAAGCTGGAATAGGCAAGGAAGGATCTTCCCCTCCAGGCTTCAGAAGTGTGACCCCGCCCACACCTTGATTTCGGACTTCTGGCCTCTAAACCTGAGAGACCAAATTTCTGTTGTTCTAAAGCCACTCAGTTTGTGCTACCTTGTTATGGCAGCCCCAGAAAACTGAAACAGCCTCCATATCCACAGGTTCCACATTTCCAGATTTAACCTACCACAGATAGGAAATATTCTGAGGGGAAAAAAAAAATAACACAAAGAAAAAACCAATACAGTGTAACATCAATTTACATAGTATTTACACTGCAGGAGGTATTATAAGTAATCTGGAGATGGTTTAAAGCATATGGGAGGGGCCAGGCATGGTGGCTCATGCCTGTAATCCCAGCACTTTGGGAGGCCAAGACAGGAGGACTGCTCAGGGCCAGGAGTTTGAGACCACCCTGGCCAACATGGCAAGACCCTGTCTCTACTACAAATATGTAAATTAGCCAGGCATAACAGTGTGCACCTGTGGTCCCAGCTATTCTCGAGGCTGAGGTGGGAGGACGGCTTGAGCCTGGGAGGTCAAGGCTGCAGTGAGCCATTTTTGTGCCATTGTACTCAAGCCTAGGTGACAGAGAGAGACCCTGTCTCCAGAAAAAAGAAAAGTATACAGGAGGATTATGTAGCTTATATGCAAATACTATACCATTTTTTTACAAGGGATTTGAGCATCCAATGATTTTGGTATCCTGGGGGATGGGAGTTGTCTTGGAACCAATCCCCCAAGGATACAGAGGGATGACTACATACTTACTTAAATACACTGGGGGGTGCATATATATGTATGTTTTTGTATTTATATTATATATACATATATGTTATATACACAATAACTATTTAACATGTAATACATAAGTATATTAAAAACCTCCTAAAATAAAACACATGAGCAGGCAGGCAGCTTACATGCATCAGGTCCCGCCTCTCCTTCTCGCCTGTGCAAATAGCCTTCTTGATGGTCCGGAGCTCACTCATGATAGCCTGAGCCTCATCCAGTTTGTAGCTGGTGTGAGTACTTGACATCTTCCGATCAATCCTGGTTAAAACAGAAAAATCAATGTCATGTCACATGAGATCCTAGCATTCCATTAAACATACAACTACAAAAACCCGAAAGCTTCATGGAAAGGTGGAAAAAGTTAAAAGTAATATTTTGGCAAAGAAAAAGAAAGACCACATGGAAGCTTCCCTCCTTCCGGTCAATACAACACCCTCTGCTGCAGGAGCACCCTAGGCAGGTGAAGACATTCGAGTCGGGAGGCTCAGGTCCTCCGCTAACGATCAGGCAACAAGATTGCTGGCTTAAGTAATTTCCCGAGACTGTAAACTCCTCTCTCTGAGAGGAGGACATGTTTAGAGCCATGTTAGTGGTCAAAAGCTTTGTTAAATAAACATATGAATGAGATCTATGTACAGGGAGAATATATGGGACACAGTAAGAAGTAGTGAGCTTTCAATAATGGTGCCTTGTACAAAACCCAGCAACTCTTCTGTCTCTTATAACTCTTATTTCATTCTGGTTCTAATTTATTACTAGCTCTCTTTCTCCTACCAAAGTCCTCAATTCTTTCCTTCAATCCAAACATCCATCCAGGGAAAATGACAACATCCCTCCCTCCCTTTTTCCTCCCCTTCCTCCCACCTTTCCTCCATGCTTCCATCCTCCAAGCCAGCTCCTGTGCACACCAGGCCGGGCTCTGGGGCTGGAAGCAGAGCACAGAACAAAACAAGACTTGGTTCTGCCTTCAAAGGGCAGGTGGCCTCTGGAGCATGTCCTCTGTCACGTCCCCTACACCTGAGGCTCCAGTCTTGGAAGCCTTAAGGCTAAGGAATTTGAGAAATTTTGGTCCAGAGTGGAATGAATTCTTTCTCTGGAAAGCAACTGGCTTCTTTCAGGTTCCAGGTCCTCCAGTTCACAGGTTCTGGTTCCAATATTTCCCTCCACATTATCCTGAAAACCTGGATCATTCACTGTCAGTCCAAGCTCCCTGGCTCAGCAATCACAGGAACCTCCGACGTGCTGGTGGGTGCAAGTGGCACCCAGCTCTGCCACTCACTGGCTGTGGGGCCTGGGTGAGTCACTTCCCCTCTTTCCACCTGCTTCCTCCGGTCTCAAATGGGGACACTAAAAATACTTCTCCCATGGGATGGGCATGAGATTT